TTAATAAAGAACATATGGGGACCCACAGCTGCCTCTTTCCTGACTTAAAAAAAAAAAGCACTTAAGTGCATTTTACAAGAATAATTCCCTGACATAAGTCTGCAGATTGAGGCAGGAGTGTACTGGGTTCCAAAAACCTGTAACGTAGGAATCCGGACACAGAGACATGGTTCCATGGTTGCTCTCCAAAGATGAAGGAGGATCTCTTCAGATATCCAGGCAGCAAGAAGGGAATGACATCGGCCTGGCCTCCATGACATGCCTCTGGTGATATGCAGAGCCCCGAGACAGCAGTGCTGTGTTCTGAAGGAAAGAACCAGGGACACTCTGAGGGCCCAACAAACATCTTCCAATCCAACCAGCTGTGTGAAGAGGAGCCTCTGGTTAAAACTATCTCGAGAATGCCAAGAGAGTTACGTCAGTAACCCAGGCACAGGTGCCGTGCAGGTCTCTGTACCTATGACAGGTTGCACACTAGCAAAGTTGGCCCAGCACGAGCCTCTTCAGCAAATTACTAGATGATACAAATCCAGAGATGAAGGAAAATAAAGGACTTCAAAGTGAAAACGCCGCCCGGGTGGTGAGCAATACATGGATCTCTATACAAAACGAATGCTAAAGAACAGTGGGAATCCTGGTTACAGAGTCTAAATGAAACAGGAGGAATGAGATTGCTAATGTGTTTATGGAGCCCTGCAGGTAATCAGCTGGCCCTGTCTAAAGCTCTATTGTGCATTTGCTGAGACATAGTGACTCCACATTCTCAATGCTTTATTTAGTATCTTTCCTTCGTTTTTTGAGGGAACTTTTGTTGGAAAATCCCTCATGGAGTGAAGGAACGTTTATGTGGAACTTAAAATGATCTTAACTGATTTTACTGCCATTTATTTATCTTCCCTTAAATTCAGACAAATTACATTTAATCCTTTTTATTGAAAAATATATGATTCTGTTTTTATGAAAGACCACATGTTTCTGCACAGGTAACGGAATCTGAGTATTTTGCTTTCATCTTTGCTTTTCTTATATTAATTGGATTCTTTATTAGTGGCATGTGTAGCTTTTTTCCAAAAGCTAAATTTATTTTTATGAAAAAAATTTAGTAAAATATTACCTCACCAAGAGGCGCCAGTCTAGAGGACTTTATTGTTGAGGTCTTTTCAACTTCCAGGTACTGAGTTTCTGTTCTGAGAGTGTTTGGAGGAACAGAGAGCCAGAAAATTTCCAATTTGTTCTACGCATCACCGATACTAAAAAAACACAGTGCATCACAGAAACGATCGTACACTGGTCACTTTGAACACAGACACAACAATAGTAGCAAAGCATTCCCAGCTGGTCAGCCCCCTCTGATCCCACCCTGAGTGAGTGCACAGGTGCAACCCAGGGAGCTGGCACATCAGCAATGACCTCGCCACTCCAATACGCACAGGAGGGAGATGTCTCTTCTCCCAGTCCAGCACCCTGGAGAGGCTCTTCTGAGTGAGGGGAGTGCAGGGACATGGCCACCAGAGGACCCAGGGATGGGCAGGAGTAGCTTGGACTTCATGGGTTCAGCCGTGGTCTCCATGATAGGGGAGCAGATGAGGGAAGCCACCGATGTCCTCATGGGCAGCAGAGACTAGAGTATGGGAAAGACTAGAGTCTTCTCTGCAGGGTGGAGTGATGGCCAGGAGAGCCCCAACAGAGCAGGAGCCTGCAGAGGGACCGTTGAGGCTGAATGCTGAGTTCTGCTGTGTAGGAAACCAGGAGAGGTCCAAAGAACCGCTGAGGAGCTTCACGTTGGACAAGTCTGAGAACTCAGAGGATGACAGACTTCGAGCTGCAACCAGCCAGAGTGTCCCATAGAGAGGCCAGAGTCCGATATTGGTAGCGAGACCAAGCCAGTCCTAGTGTAAAGGGTTCTCTAAACCCACTGAACAAAACGTCAAATTGACCTCAAATTCATCAAGTGGTCCATGAGTAACTAAGTGCCTTCCTAAAGTCCAATATTCTTTGCAGAAAGATAACGAAACCCAGAACAACACCACAAAGTGCACTCTGTATAGCACCCAGCACAAGAGGACTTTGTAACCACAGTCCTTCCCACAGAAGGATATCAGAATCGGATGAGTCCAGTTCAATTCTAACAGTCTTTTATGGGAGAAATCAAACCAATTCTTCACAAATGCTTCAGGAAAAAGCACCCACTTCATGAGGACAGCATATTGTCAGGAAAGCCAAACAACTTCTAAGAAAAGGAAGCCACAGAGCAATTCTTGTGAAAATAGCCACAACACCCTTAGCAAAGCACTAGAAAATAAGAGTGTTAATTTAGCAGTTGTAGTAATGGGTCACTACTACATTAGTGGTAATGTATTAAATTAGCAAGACAAGTATGTGTTCATTGTGTGTATAGATATGCACACACATCTACATATATACACACGCATACATACACACCAATATTTATGTGTCAAATTTTTACATATTAATTGAACTGTACATTTAAGATGTATGCCCATCTTTAAATATGTCCTTTCTCATTTACAATTAGAAAAAATGAATAGAACAAAATCATAGAGAAAAAATACCCTGATAAGGATTTATGTCTAGAATAAATAGAATAAATAACTCAGAATCAAAACGACAAACCGATTAAAGATGGCTGAGTGTCCGCACAGCTATTTCTCCACATGGATATACCAATGACTAATAAGCACATGAAAAGAGGCTCAACAGTAGTTATTATTGAAATACAAATCAAAACCATATTAAGATGTCATACCAATAGGTTAGAGATGATCAAAAATTTCTGGAATAAGGATGTGGCAAAAGAGAACCCTTACAAACCGCTTGTAGGAGTGTATACTGGTGTAGACACTTTGGAAAACAGCCTGCCAGTTCTCCAAAATTAAATGCAAAGTTATCATTTGACCCACCAACTTCATTCCTGGACATTTACCCAAGAAAATGTATGTTCACACAGAATCTTGTACATGAACATTCATAGCAGCTTTATTCATTAAAGCCAAGAAAGTAGAAATGAGCCAACAAGATACCAACTGAAAAATAAATAAATAGAATGTGGCAGAACCAAGACAACGGAACATTATTTGACAGTAAAAAGGATCAAAAGTGCTGCCAACAGGTGACAGTGTGGGCAAACCTTGAGAACGTCACGCTGAGTGAAAGATGTCAGTCACAAAAGACCGTGTCTACAGAATGTCTAGACCCCGGCAAATCCATACAGAGAGGAAGCGGGCTCTGGCTGCCTCGGGGTCACAGGTGGGGAGGTTGGGGGTGATGGTTGGAAGGATGTGGACTTTTTGGTGGTGATAATAAAAATGTTTGAAGTTGGTTATGGAGACAGCTGCCCAACTATGTGGATATGCTGAAAAATACTCAATGGTCTTGACTATGTGTATGTGGATTATATACCAATAAAGCCATCATAAACAAATACCAAAAACCAAATAGAGTGGCTAAGAACATAGGGGTAAAGTTGAAGTTCCAGACACTGTGGATGAGTCTATTAAGGTGCGGCTGTGGAACGCAGTTTCCTGGTACAGAGTAAAATGAAAAGACACAAACTCTAGACCCAGAAATGCCGTCTTGATGCATGTGATCTTCCGAGTCCATGCTTGGCCTGCCCCAGAATGTGAGCCCACCGTCACCTCCTTCCTTGAGGAAGCCTTGCTGGGACATGACGGGTGACTTGGCCCATATCATTCCCAGTCTTTCTCCTTTCCCTCCACGCCTGCTGCCTCCTGGTCAAATTATGTCATCGTAGTGTGCATACACACAAATACGTAACGAGAAATCCCACTGTTATGGCAACTCTCACGTACCAATAAAATATGGAAAAAAGAAAAGAAATGTCAGGTGAACCAAAAATCGTGCCCTGTGACACAGCTGGCTCTCTCCAGTCACTGATCTTTTATGTGGCCATGGACTGTAAAAATTTGCAGGTGAACAGCCAGGGTGTGGACCACCCTCCAAGAAGCACAGGTTGAGGACAACTTGATGATGGGAACAAAGAGACATCATAAACCACTGAGGCATGGTGTCACGGTGAAAAACTAGAAACCATCTAACAGCTCATCAATAAGTGCATGAATAAATTATATGATGTAAATTTGATGAAATATCAGATATTGAATAAAAGGATTCATATATGCATTACAAAATATAATTTTGAATGTAAAAAAGAAAAAATTATTGTAAAATTATTATAAAAATCATACAAATCAATGCTTTTTTATGCAAATATATATGTAGGATTCCCTTTGACACACATATATATTGAATTCCTGATAAAGGCTACCTTGGTGGAGGGAAGGATAGATTCAGACTGGGAACAGACAGGGAAAAGGGGCTTAAGCTTTATTCAGAATGTTTTATCGTATTCACTTTCCAAAAACATATTTAAATGAAACGTGTCAAAATGTTAACAACTTTCAATGCTCGGTGGTAAATAGGCTCATGGATATTGGGTGTGTTGTTTGCTCTTGACGGTATTTTTAAATTTCTTAAGAACAACACAATAAGGTGACTGTACGTTTAGTAAAATGTGGCTGCATGTTGCCCAGATATCTGCTCCAGCTATATGAGAACCTGGAAGTGTGAAACTCCACATCTGTTATAGGAATCTTGACATCCACAGTTAGCACAGAAACACCCAGGGCTGATGTGACGGCCACGTGACCCAGCAAAGCTTCTTGGCCACGTCCCAGGGACTGTCAAGCAACCAGTCCTAGAAACAAAAAACAGATTTTGCTCAAGAGTATGGAGAGCTTCAGGGTGAAGTTCTCAATGGCATTGATTCCGATTTCACGACTTTCCATTGATTTTTCTGCTGTGCGGGAATCAGAAACTTTCTAGCTGAATCAAACTTGTTAAAAGTGCAAGCTGTTCTGAGGAATCCTGGTGTGTATCCCAGGCTGTTTTTATGGGGTGGGGGTGCCGTTGAAAGTGTGGGAGGAGCACCGCTCTTAAAGCATCTCTGCTTCCCAGGCCGTCCCTCCCTGGAACCAAGTGCTCTTCTGACTCATCCCTTGTGCAGACCAAATTTATCGAAAAGCACTTGCTGGCCGTGAGGTTCTTCCCTTGCTGACCCTTTGTGCTGCAGACCCGCTGAGGACAGACTATGGGGAACATTTCTGAAAGTAGGTCCTCGCCGGGTAAGTACTTTTCTTTGTAAATAATGCCCCAGTTGATAGGTAATTGTGCAATCATGTAGTTATTTTTTTTCCCCTCATTAAAAAATCATTGATGGATTTATGCTCCAATTCCAGTCATCTGTTTAAAGGAGACAAATCCACAAACTATATCACAATACTCTTTGATCTACATGTGCTCGTAGACATGAGAACTTTTAGAGAAAATATAGTTTTGGATTTTTATTTTAGTTCAACCAACATTTATTTAGTCTTTACTAAGTGCCAGATACTTCCTAAGGTACTGAAAATATGAAAATAGAAATTGCATTTCCCACCTTTTAGCTGCCTGTCAAACAGCAAGGAAAACATATAAGTAAAAGATATTTATAGTTCAAGTTGATGTTAAAAGATAACATAACTATGCACAATTGTAAGGTCTATTCGACAGGACCACATTTTCCTTTTTAACAACTATGTCTCAGAAATTAGCCTCATGCCTACAATATTGGATATTTTGAATAAATATTTAGTTTGTTGTCTCAGCCCATTTGGGCTGCTGTAACAAAACATACTAAGTTGCTTTGCTTATAAACAGCAGATGTTTATGTCTGACACTTCTACAAGTGGGTACCAGCAGATGTGGCGTCTGATGAGGGCTCTCTGCTTCAAAGATGGTGCTTTCTCGTGCGTCCTCACAGCTCAAAAAGGTGAACAGACTCCTGCAGACCTCTTTAGGCCACTAATCCCAGTGTGATGGAAGATTCCCCCATAACCTACTCATCTCTGACTGTCCCAACTCCGTACCCCTATGTTGGGGATATGGTTTCAAAATATGGACTTGGCAGGAGAGGCACAAACATTCAGACTGCAGAAGTGCCACAGGAGGGCGAGGGATTGAAAGTCGGAGCCCTATTTTGAAATCAGCACAGACAATTGGTTGATTGAAAGGTTTGGTTGAAGTGGGTAATCAAAGAAAAAAACATACAAACATTGAAACTTTTTTTTTTCAATTTCTGTCAATCCTTAGAGAAAGCATCAATGTTTTTGAATGTCTAAAATCATAGATGCAAAACTAAGATCTCTTTCTTTTATAAATCACAGGTACAACATCTTTTCTATTTCTTGTTTTAATGTATTAACAAATCAGTGAACCCAAAAGACACTTATAAAGTAGCAGCATTTCCTAACCCTCTAGGTCTTATATTGTTTTTCCGAATTTCAAATCTTTTTTGCCTATTTAGTTTTTGTAGTGTGTGTGTGTGTGTGTGTGTGTGTGTGTGTGTGTGTGTAGACTTAACCTTATTGAGTTTTCTCAAAAGGGCATTTAAATTAGTGTTCAAAGAAATACATCTTTTGCCTGTACACATTTTCCTGCTTTGTGTAAGATTTAATTGAATGGCATGATTACAACAACATAAACCATGGGAACAAGTAGCTTGAAATGACTCTTAATGAATACACATTGGTATGAAGGGACAGCAGGCACAGCACCGGAGAACATCCTCATGGAAGCTTGCATGAGATGAGCTGAGGCATTTTATAGAGCAGGGAAGAAGAGGGTCAGGCAGTGACAACTGTTAACAGAGATCTTCAAAAGTCATAAGAGCTGATTCAAAACCAAGTTTAAAAGATAGTTAAGATTTGCTAGGTAAGCCAGGCAAGGTAGCACACACCTGTAATTCCAGTAGCTCCTGAGGCTAAGGCAGGAGGATTGCAAGTTTAAGGCCAGACTCAGCAACTTAGCAAGACCCTGTCTCAAAATAAAAACTATAAAGGGTTGGCAATGTGGCTCAGTGGTTAAGCGCCCCTGGGTTTAATTTCTAGTACAATTTTTTTTCTTTTGCTCAGTAGATCAGAAAGAATACACCTAGACAAGAGAGCAATTCTTACAAAGAGATAAATGTTTTCAGCAGGATTATAATTAGGGTGAAACTGGCTTATTTTGATACATCCTTATAAGAGTTCTTTTAAACAAGTGATTTTGCTTTTTTCCAAGAGAGAAAACAAAACCAGGATTCTCAACCCTGTCATTAAAGTGATTGCACCAGTCAGCTTCATGTTACTACAAGAAGATACCTGAGACAGCTGGTATACAAGAAGAAAAGATTCATTTAGCTCACAGTTTGGGGAATTCAAAATTCAAGATAAGTGGTCCTCAGTTTGGCCTGTGGTGAGAAATGCAGGTGGCAATACATCATGCAGGAGCATGTGTAGCAACAAAACAGTCACTTCTAGAACCTGAGTAGAGAAAGAGAAACCAGGTACAACAATCTGCAAGGACATGCCCCCAATGACCTAAGGACCTCCACTTGGCTTCACCTCCTACACCTCCCCCACCACCCCCTCGTGCCACCTTGGGGACCAAGCCTTTCACACGTGGACCCTGGGCAGATACAACCTCTAAACCACAGCAGTGATTTACTGAGAGAATCCATACAGCTGCTGTTCCCACGAACTCATCAGTGAACACACTCTCTATAGAGTTAGAATTTGGGTAGGGATAAAAGGAAGGGAGATGAGAAGGGGGAAGCGAAGGAGGGACCATTTATAAATTGACTCCAAGCGAAAGCTTTCTGTAAGAATCGTCCTGACTCCCATCATGTCACAGCCCTGGTAACTTCACCTCAGGATTTTCCATCCCATTAAAATTGAAAAACCACAACAATTTTAGAAATTATTTTGCTCATCAATGTATATATTCATCACAGACAGATATAATCCCTTTTAACACATAACTTTATAATATGAACATAAGGCGAGTCACAGTTATCATGGCAATATTATTGATATTGTAAAGAATACAGATTACTGTCATAGTCTAATAATGTACTTACATTTCTAAAAGCCCCTCCCTAGAAAGAAAATGGCATTTGATAAGATAATTCATAGGATTTATAGAATTATTATTATTAAAAAAGATATAAAAAGAGTGAAGATTGCCACAAAGTGTTTTCTTCTTAATAATTGAGAGACTATAATTTTGTATTCCAAGGGAGGAATGTTCTGGATGTGATTGAAAGCTCACTGTACAGATGGCTAATTTTTAAAATAATTTTTCCCAATAATTTCTTCTTTATGATGCTTAAATTCTCCTGGCAGAACGCTTCCTCATGTTTCAAACCACCTAGCATTTATGGTGGGGCGCAGCAGACCCATTTAGGACTGCACAGAAATATTTGCTAAAAGCCCTGGAAACAAACAGAACACTAGACCCTGGAAACGAGTCTTCATAAAGAGTCATTTTTGCTTTCAGAGTTCCTTTACTGCAACCAAAAAGAGGTTTTTCTCAATTACTTGTGGATAAATATTTTAGTATAATTTGTATCAAAGTAAAACATGTTCTTCCTTGCCTATGCAATTTATAAGGTTTTGAAAAAAAGCAAAATCCTCTGTCCTGTCTGCTTTTATCCCTTACTTTAAAATTGTTTTGCTGTGTTTCAGGTACTTACTTCATGTTTTCATATAAACAGTTCATATGCTAGCTCTTTGTTTTTAAAGTTTAGCTATCCATGGATTTCTACTATGATGGAAGAGAGTTTAGGTTTTTTTCCCATTTTCCCACCTATTTTCCAAAACATGTGCATCACAATTCTTCATTGTCTACATTGTGACTGTGACCATTACTCACAAGTGAGCCACATTGTGTAATTATTATAATCCTTTGCTCAGACGTCTGTTTTCCTGCAGTTAAGAAGTACTTATTTTAATTTTTCTCTACTGAGTCAGCCATGTCTGCCCCATGCTGCATTTTTCTTTAAACACTCCGTGAGACTAGGAGAACTCCTCTTGCCAGACACCACTTCTTTTCCTTCTGGGGACAGCCCTCCCAGGGTCATTTACTTTTCTGCTCCCAAGTGGAAGAGTTGCTCTCTACCTGCTGAATTTTGATCTACCTCTACTCTTGTCTCTTAGGTTGGCTGAGTGTGAAATCCAAAGAGGAACAGTTTCCTGCGGAGGTTGGAGTCCTGCCCCCCTATTCTCACTTCTGGGATGATGGGAACAAGTCAAATGCTATGATGATTCCTCACGTTTCACTTATGACTCACTTTTTTCTTCTCTTTGTTAACTTTTAGATTGAAGAAAACATACCGTTGGTGTCCTGAAATTGCCAGTGATGCCCTGGGCAGAGGTTTAGTTCTTTTTATTTCTTTGGGTGCTCAATACCCTTTCAATGTTCACATGTCTGTCATTTGAATTTCTTTCTAATGATTTCTCTTCTGTCTTCTCTTTGCCTCTATAATTCTCATTAGTCAGATGTTGGGTAATCAGAATGCATTCATAATTCATGATCTGACATCTATCAACACACCCACACACCCCTTATTTACATCTACATCACTATTCATATGTGAAGATGAGTTGATCTTTTATACTTACATGTCGATAAATTCATCCGTTAGAATTGTTGATACAAACTTCTGTAATTGTTGATATAAGCTTCTATAAGAATTGAGTCCATGCTTAAATATAGACTTCACATATTTGAGATAGACATAGTTATACATCTGTAGCTTATCTGTATATAGATATTTCGTGGATATAACACTTATGTATTGATATTCTAAAAGGCTACAACAGGTGTCAGTACATTCAAATGATTAACTCTGGGAAGCCATCATGGTACAATAAAATTGTTATATTAGGAAATGCTTCAATTCAACATTCTGAAGAGTTCTTAGATTAAACACAAACATAAAAGATGATAAATTTATGAAAAGTAGAGTAGGAAGAGAGGAAGACTGGAAAAACATCTGATACAACTCAGATACCACTAGAAAGCAGAGCCAAACCTCCATACCTGTGTACCAGGTCTCCCTCCGAATGCAGTGACCCTGGGATTCTCCAGTAGCTCATAGGGGAATAGGTAAGCAAGCTTGGGTTGTTATATTGTGCAAATTATTTTTCAAAACAACTGTTATGAAATATATATTTGGTCTTTCTTCCAAGTACATTTTCTGTTTTGGATATAGGGTTGAAGTTACCATTACATTCTATGAGAAATCAGGGTAAACCTCGTATGAATGTTGAGTTGCCTTAATTTAAAATCTGACTTTTTCTTTCTTCAGTTTTTTTTTTTTTTGCTGGTCACCAGCATGAGATGAAGATTAGGTTACATCCCCATCTTGTGGCCATGATTTATCCAGCAAAAAGAGTTATGATACAGTCCATACTGGAAATCTACATATTTTCATTGTCTTAACTTCAGACTTGTTATCCAAATTATTCCCTTCCATAGACCTCTCAAACACAAACATAAAAGATGATAAATTTATGAAAAATAGAGAAGGAAGAGAGGAAGACTGGATTACTAATAATACTAATGAATTACTAATAATTACTAATGTCCTCACCTATCATAACTTTTCCAGTTTTCAGTGCGCTAAAATACATGTTTTAACCAGATTGCAATTTAGAAAGTAAAAGTAAAATGTTACCTTAAGTCATAACTCTTCTTCACAATTGTTTTTATTCACTGCCCCCACAATAAGATATCTTTCTTTTTCTTTTCTTTTTTTTCTTTTTTGAATGCTCAGTATTTAACTAATCAAATCTTTCACTTTCTCAAAACCCGATACCCTGAATTTGTGACAGTTTTTGCGTGGGTAAGCATATGTAATCAAATAAATTTCAATTTTCAACTCTGAACATTTACTAGCTACTGTGCATGTCAGGTACTCCTTGAACGTTCTCCCTCATGAGCCTCCCCATTCCTGACTCCAACCCGGGAGGGCGATGGAGGCAGCACAAGTGTCAGGTCCCACGAGGAAGACAAGTAATAAAGTCTGTAGTCCGAATCTGCCATTGGTCAGTGTATTAGACAGTGATCCTGGGCAATGAGCTATGTCACTTTAAGAGAGATGTCAGAGATGCAAATCACTTACGGTACCTAAGAATGAACATATGTCTCACTTGGAATCCTCACTTGTACCTCCTGAGACCGGCAAGGATGAAGATGTCTGTGCTACTGAAGCCAGAATTTCAATGAGCTTCAGCGGGTGATCTGCCTTGGGTTGTGCTGGGGTGGGGCAAGTCAAGGGCAGGCAAGGTGATATTCAACACAGTTTCTTTATTTAAAAACAAAAATAGGCTTATTGTTTTGTCACACAAAATATTGAGGATAAAGCTTAAAGAAATTTTTCCTGGATGGTGATTGTGACTGTCTAGGAGAGGAGAACATACCACAATTTTCTGCTTATCAAAATGAGCCAAGGATCACACTATCATGAAACACTTATCAAAACATGGGGGCCATTATGCCTGCTTTTTAATCCCTGCTTTAAAATCCCCGTTTGGCCATATATCAGAAAGTAGGTTGGTAACAGGTGTAGAGAATATTGGACAATAAGAACGACCCCTTATCCATATTTCCAACCGTTCAGGAATCATTTAATATTTTACATCATCTGTTTTGTTATGAGTTATGTCATTATTTTCAGGTGTAAGGACTCCTTTGTTACTCTAGTTTCATAGGACAGACTCATACCTTTCTAAAGGCTTTACCTGTTACAAAAGGTATTTTTAGAAATATTTTCCATTTTTTCACATGAAGATAATCAATATTCAGTATCAAAATGCAAACATTGATAAAAAGGAAAGAAAGTGAGAGGTTTTCTTTCACACAGAGTGCACATTAAAGATTGAAGAAGGATCAGGATCGTGGTTTCGTGATTAAAATGATCTGGAAAGAGGAGTTTTATCACAGCTCCATCCAAAGCCTGTGTCAAAATACCTGGCTTCTGTGGGAATCACCGAATATGCCACTAGAGGGCAGACAAACCTAATTTTGTAACTGCAGCCTCTGGAAATGGAATTGAGGCTTCAAGTGTGTTTTTGCAGACCTGAGAAGGAAAAAACAAACTCCCAAAGAACAAAAATAACTCCACAACTTCTCCTCCTACCTAGTGGAGTTCACTGTTAAATATTCATACATTCACACAATACTATAATATAATTCCATTACTTTATTTCCCCAGAACCTCCCCTTTCCCTTTCTTTATTCATTTATCCATTGATGGACACCTAGGCTGATTCCACCATTTGGAAATTGTGAAGTGGGCTACTATAAACATGGGCATGCATATAATGCATATAGTATGATGATTTATATGCATATAGTACGATGATTTTAATTCTCTGGGATTATAGGAAGTTGTTTAGGTGAGTCATAGGGTGGTTTCAGGCAATCTTTTAAATAAAAAGAGGGAAGGAAAGAAAAGCAGAAATGTGTGGTTTTGTTCAATTCAATTGAAAATACTGGACAGCTAGACATTTCTATCTGAATGCAGGTGAGCAAACATATTAGAGAAATATTGCCTATCACTTGAAATCCTAGCAGAAAATGAAACAGTGGTAGCACTTTTAAGGACCTCCCAAAGGCCAAGTAATCAAGCACGTGGGTGGTCAAGATAGAAAGATATGTTGCCCCTCTCTCATCCATAAATTTAGTAGGCCTGTGTAGACTGAGATGTTTCCATGTATGCATGCAATCCATAGACATAACAGGACCTCAGCTCTCTCTCCATTCTCATGTGGCCACTCTCTCCTGAGCTTCTGTCTCAGTTACATGGGCATCTGATTTAGGCCTTCGTGCATATAGTCGTGCAGATTATATTTAATACAGATTATATTTAAGTATACAGGTGCTCATTGACTTACAATGTGTTACATCCCAATAAACAAGTATAAATTGCAAACACCATAAATCAAAATGCATTAAATACACCAAATCTACCACACGTCCTAGCTTAGCAACACAGAACGCAGCAGAGTATCCACTATTTCCTCCTTGTGATTGAGGGACTGACTGGGGGCTGGGCTTGCTGCCTCTACCCAGCCTTGCTAGAGAGTAACCTCTCACACATCACTAGCTTTGGGAAAGA